GAAGACGGAGTTTTCTTCAGAGTGTTTCGAAGAAACCTTGCTTTGTTGCATCTTCTCGTTGCGTTTTGTTATTACCATTTACTGTTTTGTTGCAAAATATACATAATACACTTGTTGAAAATGGTGAAAATTTAATAAGCGCCCATGCACGTCGAATAAGCGCCTACTCTCAAAGTCCAAAAATTTCATAAGCGACCAGGGCTGTTAATCGAATAAATACGGTACTTAGCAATTATTGACCAGGCGTGCATTGTTGAGTGTCCGTCAATACGGTTCTTCAATCCCGTAGTCCCGACCCAAAATTTCATAGCATCGCGTAATCACGATGGTTATTTTGGGCATCCCAACTCCTGCGCGAACTTTTATCCCTACTCTCGGGGCCATTTTGCGTTAAAATCCCGAATCCCGAGCTTTACATAAAGGAAATCCCAGATCCCGAAAAAACCTATTGGGGCCCCTCGATGCTCAAGATAGCTGAATTTTGAAAGTCTCTTTTTGTATGGGCTGAGACGAGTCGAGGTCCCTAAAAATGCAGGCCGTTACGTAGCAATCAATTGAACACATCACAATTGATGCTATGGTTCTCCAGGCCGCTGGATTCTACGGCTGTCTGCTACTATACCCTGCAGACTTCCCGGGCCACTAAAGTAGAGTTTAACACAACAGATTCGTCTGCGCGGAGCCCTCTGGAATCCGAGTTATGTAAGCGCAAATCCACAGTGAAAAACAATAACACACAAAAGAAACATGCATATGAACAACGCCATAATACAGCACGCAAATAGGCGGGTAGGAAACAATGGCACTAATGAGCCAGTTCCAACTGCGTAGAAGGCCATAAACAAACAAAAAGGAAGCGACAAAAAACAAATAAAACAAACAGCAAGGTAATGGCAGAAATAGCAAAAAAACACCAAGCAAGGTGTGCCGTTGGGTAAACGCTAAATATCCGAAACTGACAAGACTAGCTTGAAACCTACTCGATAAAAACAAGGAAGAAAGTGAACAAACGGAGGAAACGAAAGAAAGTAAGGTGGGTACAAGACGAGACAAAAAAGTTGATACAAATTCCAACAATAAAACGCGAACACGAACCGACCTCGCTAAGAGCTTTAGACGCAGAGCGAGCGATAACGAAGAAATTACCTTTGGAGGGACCGGTGAAACATTGGCAGACAGAAAAGGCACAAAGGGGTCACAGATAAGCTCTCCAAAAGTGGCTGGTGGCGGTTGAAACCACAGCGAAACCTTGAAGTCACTTCCACTGAACTCCGTTGAACTGGCCTGAACCAAGTAATTCTAATCAAGGGCCGGAATGTAACATGCCACCAGCGCGCAGGCCCAACACACGACGGAATTCAAAAGGAGTTTCTTATATCTCGCATCAGGAGCCGAGTCACGGGTCAATTGTGTATGCAGTGAGAACATCACGGAGAATCTAGAATTTTAGTAATTTTACCAAAATTTCGGTCAGTACCATAAAAAGGGAGAATTTATTAAATCGCCCCAATAGTCGAGGGAAAATGAACCAAACACGGAATGTCAAATAAGGGGCAAATTCATGTACTGAAATATATAGTACTTCTTCAGGTGCGTTTTAATGCCCCAAAACAAAGGTGTCTATGGCGGTGTGGAAAATGAAAAACTTCTCCTCCCCGCCGTGTCTCGTTCCGTGGGGTGATTTTACATCCCTGAGGGCATAGGTATAATGCTCATTGTTCCTTTACAGCATGCAAAGCACTCGGTGTGAGTAACGCCAACACGATACCAGATGACAGAATGAAAGCGAGTACGTACTACTATGAGGATGAATCTCCATTCCTTGGCCGACTGGAAGAATCGAGAGGAGATGGCGCGTGGTGTCCGAGTACTCGAGGTGACAAGACAGACTATCTTCAAGTTGATATGGGTAAGGTGTATTTTGTATGCGGAGTGGCCACACAAGGACAAAGGATAGGTGATTACTGGACTAACTCTTACAAACTTCAGTTTTCTTTGGATGGAAACACCTACGTCTTCTACATGGAGAATGGCAACAGCCCAAAGGTCAGAATCTAATTAGGAATCGAGCATATTGAATAAGGGTGAAGTCTGAATTGTCACCCGTCTCTTCGCCCCACCCTCCAACAGGTAGCAAGGCGAAAGAGACCACCCGTTGGGGAGGGGGGAGGGCGAAGAGACGGATGACATTTCAGACGGGTGAGGGGGTAGGGAAGCATTTATGCAATAGATAGCCTAAGTGACGAAAAAAGGCGGCCATCCCAGATCCCTGGGTTACTCCCAGTCGACTCACTGGGGTACTGCCAGATCCAGGGCGTACTCCCAGGTCCCAGGGGTACTCCCAGATCTCAAAGGTACTTCAAGATCCCCGGGGTACTCCCAGATCCCGGGGATACTCCCTATAATGAATGGGCTATACCAGGAGGCTTCGCCCAAAAGGGATATACGTTTTTCTGGCTTCAGGTATGTGAAAGGGTAGACATTTCACTGGTTGAAGCAGGGGGTCTGTTGAAAGGGTAGAGAAACCTATCAATTCTGTCTGTATAAAAGCTCAAAGGGACTAACAGAGATATTTTATAGCTGTCAAAAGTATTTATTTATAATAAAAAGACAGAGCATGTACAATGTAAAATGGGTACCATTTGTTAATACAAAGTGGACCACAGGGATACTTTTTCTGTCAAAAATGGTATATAAAGGGTAAGGGGTTGAACCTTGGGGCGGATCCTCCTTGTATAAAAATTTATCAAGTAACAGCCCACCAAAACTCCCCCCCCCCCTCCACCCCAACCCCCGCTGGGGAAGCCAGATAAAAAGTCAAGAAAGAAGCAATTCGCCCCTTGCACATCCCATTTTACATCTTGTTTGCCCCGCCAAATTTTGCATAAGCATTGTCTTCGATTTCTCTTGGGATTACTGAAATACCCAGGAAAAAAACGAAACACAAAGGTTAATGCAAAATATTTTGGCGCAAACAAGGTGTACTATGGGAGATGTGCAAATTTGGAATTGGACATTTTGAGGTTGTTTATTAAGTTAAACTCATCTCACGGTTTTGTCTGAAATCGCAGGTATTCACAGGGAACGTAGATCAAGATAGCGTGGTACAGAATGATCTAAAGAACGACGTTCAAGCCAAATATGTTAGGTTTCTTCCCGAAGACAGCGACAACTGGCCTTGTTTGAGAATTGAAATTTTTGTCAGGAAATGATGCCTCGCAACAATGATGAGACAGGAATTAAGGGCCTGTTTACATGAAGGTGGGGGACCCCAGGCAGCTGAGGTAACATATGGCGGGTTAGGGGTTTAAAATAACCGACAAATGAAGGTATAAAATGAGAGATTATATGGATAGTTGGGTTACCTCACCAAAGCAGGTTACCTAACCTACCTGGGATCCCTCACCTCCATGTAAACAGGCCCTAAGACCTTATCGAAAGTTACCTGATTATTTGCCCGAAGGAGTAAAGATTTCAAATATAGTTGTCCGGGTATCAAAGAGCATTAGGCTCTTAAAAGGCGCAGAAAATTTAAAGAGAATACAAGATAGTACTAGCTGGCTACAAATAAAATGAGATTTCCATTAGTGTGCCTGCTTAATAAATCCTCTTCGGGTGATGTTGGTAGTTCACTCTTCTTACAACTCTAACTTTCAGTGTTACATTTCTTTTCTGCTACATTTGCACAGTTCTTGAAAGCAAAGGAGAACCACCAACAAATGTGGGCCGCCCATCTTGCCAGCTCGGGATTAGTACCGCGTTGGTCGCACAAAAAAGTTCTCTTTTTAGCCATTCACCATATGCATGAGCATTGTTTCCAATTTCCTCCTCGGTATTTTAGGGAACGGTTATGATTTATCGCCTTGGGGGGAGTGGGCAGAGGATTTGGAGGTAAACAAGGTGAAATTTAGCCGATTCGGTCTTTAAATGTTACTTCACTGAAGTGACCCCCCCCCAATAATATTTGATGTCTTCATTTTCTAAGCAAATTTGAGTGGTACCCCCTCTGAATCGTTCCAAAGTTTTCAGCGCGCCCCCCTTTTGGGTTCTCAGTTACGACTGATCACCCCTTTTGTTCTCCTAAAAATCAAGTGATCCCAGCCAAAAATCCTCCGCCCTCCCAGCGATAAATAATGACCGGTCCCTTAGTCGTCTCAAAGCAGTGCTTATGCTATTTTTTTTTCGGGGAGGTGGAAGGTGGAGGGCACAAAAAAAGGTGTACTATGGGAGATGTGCAAAGTGCAAATGGCGATTATGACAAATCTTTAATTGACCAGGCTTTTTCGTTTAAGATGGATGGATACTGGCCTCCTTCTTGTTTGCGTTTTTATTGACCTCGACTTCGTTTTGGTCCATAAGAACGCAAAAATGAGTTTGTCTGAGTAATGCAGCCAGTTTGACCTCATGCTTAATTGGTCAATGACATGCGTGAAAGGTTGCAATAACTCACGAAAGAGGACTGTGCTTCAGGAAAAACAACTTTAATTCTTTTGCGCACCACTTCAAAGCAAAAATCACATGATAATGACGTACTACTAAGGTGGTCACAAATAATCTTATCTACGCGACTACAGCACCACAAGAAAATACTATTAGCTCTCTAACGCCAATGAAAAGCGCAGTGAATCGGCTTACTAGAGCCTTAAAATTGTTCTTGTTCTGATTTCAGATGCCCCGAAAATACATGCAGTAACAAGGTATTTCACCTGGGCAACTTGCTATTCCAACAATATTGTTCTGTCCGTAGATAAACTATATAAATGAACGTTTCATGATTGAACTAATGGCAGTTCGTTAGCGAATCTTCCATGATATGATAACTGGTCCTTAGTGGTTATCACAGTCTCCTCGCCAGGACTATTTTTCGCGATTGCCACGGCTGTCCGTAAATCACCAGTCCCCAACAAGGACCTGACTAAAAATTGCAAATGACAAATACAAAAATAATCTAAGATCATCTCTGATATATATACGACCATCTATTCATTCTCTTCGAGTGTCTAACGATTGACCCATCGCTTGATTGCCTCTTGCCATTCCATATCTTCGTCGTCTGTTCGGAGTGTGCCTTCGTCATCGTCTGTTTGGATGTAGCTCTCGTCGTCGGTCATCTGTGTGCGTGAAGAGCTCTTATTGTCTCCTCGGCGCTTGAGAGTGTCATCGTCGTCAGTATCCGTATCTGAACCTGCCCGACGGCCCTTCGGGTTTTTTCCGTTTCTACTCGGACCGTGGCTGATGACCTTTTCTGAAGGTCCTGTCATTGTGACGTCGCCGTTTGACAGACCTGTCTTAGCTCTCTCCTCTTGAGATTCTAGCGACTGGCGAATCTGGTTAACTTGTTGTTCCAGCGCATCCAAATCTGTGTCATTTGTTTTACCATTTGAAAGATAACTGCGGTCATTTACACCATCGTCTTCATCTTCTGTTGAAGACAAAAAAAATCAATAGATAAATAAATGAATAAATAAATGAATGGTTCATACTATGTTATCGATCAAGAGAGGAGGAATTCCGATAACAGACTTCTTCCCATTTGATGTTAGAACGTATAAATAGGTATCGTTAACGAGTTCTTAAGAGCTCCAAGGTTGTGTCCATACGAGTCAGGTTTAATTTGAAAACGGATACAATAGATTATTTACTCTCGGCAATGTGTAACGTAAGTGGGGCCGACCAAATCAGTGACTGAAACAATGATTAAGAATCCCAACTGGTGAGAGACGAACCAGTTGCTAATTTCAGGAGTGGCCGAGGATTTCAACTCTAGACCGCCATGAAAAAAATTCAGCCAGCGGTTAGGGAGGGATAGAAAAAACTCGGGACTTCCCGAGTGCAAGTCTAGTGCTCTAACTGCCTGGTCACGCTGCCTCCATGCATAAGAAATAGCGTTTACTTAAAATTAAAAGACTCGCGTGGACATATTTACCTGAGTTAAGCTCCTTTACGAGTGAAGACATAGCACTTGTGACATTATCAGCAGCCATAAGCAAGTCATCTCTCAAATTTCTACCAGCAGAATGGTCACCAAATGCTTGTTTAATGTCACCATCGACTCCACTCAACGGCGCATGTGTAGGGCTTGAATTCAGTGTAGGCTCAGTATTCACTGGGGCTACTGGCGGCTTTCCAAAGATGTCCCTCGAAGGAGAATCCTCCATTCTCTGTGCCTTGGGACTTCTTGGTGTGCGGGGTGACCCGGCCTGTGAAAGAAGGCGAAAACTATTTAGATGTCGTGGAGTAATCCGGCATTTAATAGCACAAAGCACAACGTAAACATCCCTAAGTGCGGCTGGAACTCTTAAAGTGCGTCATATTCTGTCGGGTGTAAATTACCGTTGCTACAAATCAGAGAATTCTTTAAGGCGAACAGCTATAGTTAGTTCTGAGAATGCGTTCAATGACTATGGGAGCAATGGACATGATTGCGACAGTGCAAAAATCCCTCGAAGACTATGACTCGTTGAAATAAATTATATTTAAATCTAAGAATAAATTGACCCCAAATATGCTGAATATGTTTGCTTCCAATGAGCAACGAGTCTCTAAAGCGAGCAATAAAATTCCTCGGGCTTTGCATTATGGGAAAACCGCTTACGAAACACTGCTTTGCAATGCGACAAAGCACGTGTTTTTTAAAAACCACTCTTGATTTGGAGCTCAGAAAATAATTAATTCTGCAGGCTAGTTCCCACAGGAAAGCGCCAGATAAATATTCTAAAACTAAGAAGATGGAGTTAAATTCTAACAAGCAATATCGCAGAAACAAAGGCCCAAAAATTTAAGTAAAGAGAAATGACGTTATCGACTCTGAAACTATAACCACAACTTAATAGTTCACAGTTTTAAACCTAGGTGTTATTGACATTCAAACGTCATAAGGGTCCTTTCGAAAAAAAAAAGGCGTGTTGTTTTAATTTGCATAAGACGTTTCCCAAAGGAGATGAACGTATAACTTATAACTTTTATGTTACGAAAAAAACAAGGAATCAATATTAAGTAATTCACACTTAAGTACAAAAGAAACCCAAGCCCTCTCTCCCGGACAAGAATTATTTTACGTGCAAAACCTAAATATTGACTCATTGTTTTTAGGGAAAAAAACAAAACCAAAAAAGGTCGATTATTGTGAATGAACGGTGTTGAGATTGTGTATAAAGTATTTCATGCAGTATTAAAGTGAAAATACGCCAGAAACCTAACATAGCAATTTAACAATTTACTTACAACGAGCCTCGCACTATCCTAGTAATGAATTCTGGGTTTGCGGCGAATTTTAATGCATAAAGTATTTTTTCTGGAGTGAGCCGAGCAAACACTATTGATACTATTTTAAAAAATGTAAAACGTTTTAGAATGCTATTTCACGAAACTTGATTGGGCAGTTTGTTGTTTTATCGAAATTTAAGATTTATATGCTTACAACTGATAACCTCACTAAACTTGACTATTATGTAATCGATACGGCTTCACGTGCAACAATTATGACTTGAAGTGTGTTTGAAAGGTCAATAATAAAATCAATACGTTCCTTTTCATTTGTACACTTTTTTGAAATTTTTTTTCCTGACGACTGATACTGAGGCATTCTTTTTGGGATCGCACCTATGCAGTTACAAACCAGGGACATACTTCAAACGAACTTTGATACGAAGATGAGTATTTTAAATTAATAGAAAGGACAGTCACTATATCACCGTATAGAGCTAGAGTTATGATTTTCGTTCTCGCACCCATTGAAAATTAGCTCTAGTTTTTTCCTCTACAGTAGACAGTTGCACTCGGTGCACGTTACAAATGATGCAAAGCTGTAACAGTGCTAGATTATTTCAGAAAAAAAAAATAGGATATTGATTGATTATTTTTAAAAAAAGCATTATAGAAAGCCTGAAACCCGATAAAAGAGTAAAAAGGAAAAATAATTTGTATAACCCCCCTGTTCTAGGCTGGCTATTGACCATGAAGATGCGAAAAAGAAAGACGCGTTTTACGATATTATTACACGTGCGCTTGTATGACACGGTAAGGATACGTTTAACGAGCAGGATTACTCAATTACCATGTGATATATGGCGAAGCAAAAACAGCGAAGAAAAAAAGGAAAAAAAAGAAAAGATATAACTAAGCTCAGTCAATGTAAATGCCGGCAGCATTGAGCGAAAAAAAAAAGGAATATTTACTTCCAAAAACTTGGCACTTAACATGCAAAGGGACGAAGGTAAATTCGCTTGGTTGTTAAAATATTTTGAAAGAATGCTTGTTGGTAAACGCGGCCATTGGAGATCCAAAGGTAGCCGCGGTCTTCGCGCCAAAAATGACGAGTTTGCTAGCGGCGACCGGCAAAAGAACTTGAGATTTCGCGAAAACAAAATTACCACTTCAAATTATCAACAAACTCCTACCTTCATAAACGGGACCGCATTGTTAGAACACCCTCCAAACTCTGAGAAAGTCCTTGTTAGAGTGCACGAAACGCAAGGAGGCTCGAAAACCGGCGAAAGCAAAGCTAAAACGTTCGTTGCCGCGATGAAAACCAGTACGGACGACAAGGCCTTGTTTTCATTGCAGTATCTGAGGACTTTTCCAAGAACTACGAGTTTGGCATCCATGTCTTGAGATGGTCGTGGTCTGAGCTAACTGAAAACGGCAAACCTCGCTATCGACTTTAATAGCAAATACGAATTACAAACTTAAAGATATTTGAATAACATTTCCGGAAACTGAGCAATGTGACGGGGCAATATCGACGAGCTATTTACGGTAGACAGGCGAATATATAATACAAAAAATCGAGTTCGGGCCTTCTACGTCATTGATGCCGAAGTGCGATAACTACTGAACTGTAACTCCGTGGCAATTGCCTTCAAAGCAAATATCTGCTATGTGTTCAAGAGCGAGTTAAATTTAGATCGGTTTAATGGGACGAGGTTTACGGCCGCTTCCAACAGCTTAATTATTTTGGCCCTGGTAAATTATCTTTGTACCCCACCTTAAGACATTATTGGCTTTTGATAATAACTACTTATGCAAATAGTTTTAAGTGTAAAATCGTGGCATGAGCTAGGGTAAACGTTTCTAGTGATTTTTGGAAAGTGTACAATCTTCTAGAAACTCAAGGAATGAAGGTAGGTTTTAAATCCACAAAACTCCTCAGTCTGCAGAAGCAAAAGTAAAACTCGATGGAAAAAAAAAGGATTAATTAACCCGAGGTACCAAAACAAGGGCTTCCTCAAAACTTGAATCAGACTAGTTAAAAGATAAACAGCTTGGGGTCTTACAGGCAACAAGTGAGGAGACTATGTTGGTTTGGCAACTTAAAATGGCTTAGCACTTTCAACTTCATGAAATTCATTTAAATCCAACTCGCTTTTAACGGATATCTAGAGTTGGAATCTAATGTTCTGGAGTCAATTTCCTTAGAATTAAATCTCTCTACAAGGCGCGCACCTTTCTAAGACGAAAACTTTGAATCGTTCCGAACGGGTTTCACGTCTAGAAGCGAGAGAGCTAACATTTTCAAACGAGCGTAAATTAAAGTTACTAAAAGTTGCTACATCGTACCATTTTGTATCACTATCATCCCAAAATTACCTCATTTTCAACGCGCTCACGAATTGTTGTGTACAATAATATTACTTTTAACGAAAAGGATACTTGAAAAGATTGGAAGACGGGAAGAAAGAAACCCTTTGCGGAAATACCAAAGTTGGATATGTTCTTGCGGTGAGGAAAATTGTCGTAAACGTGTTTCTTACTAGGACAAAGTTGTGTACTTTAGAATTTGAATTCCATTGCGTAGATTTTTTTAACCAAATTAGGCAACATTTTTAAATATAATTTACAATGAAAACGATTTTGACTTTCGAAGGCCGTGGTTTCAATTTCCATCGGGAACTCAGAACTTTTTTCTGATTCTTCTCTCCACATATAATTCCATAATTATCTAGTTCTCTTAGAGAGGATATTCGTGATTACGTGGTGCAGTTAATGCGAGTGTTTATTTGACAAAATCTGACTGCGCGATGCAATGGTCAAGACAGCCCACAACTGACGTGTAATTCCCAGTAGCTCAGTGGCTAGAGCATCCGCCTAGTGTCTGGAAAGTCGTGGTTTAAATTCCCATCTGGAACTCAGATTTTTTCTGAATTCTTTACTTCACACATATCATTCCATTTATCGTTGACTTTCTTACTGTCGCTAAAAATCGGATACATTCATTTACGTGAAAACCCACAAATCGGACTGAACAAATAAAAGTTCTAGAAAAAAATAAGTCCACATTCAAGTTGAATCTGGATTAACTGGTGCAAGGCAGAAATCTCTAGTAGGCTCCAAAGATTGTAATCTCGGTCAGATTACTTTCACAAACTAATATCATTAAGTTCCCTTTTAAGCAATAAACCGAACAAGAATCAATACCTTCTTAAAATGTCACTTAACGCCTGAGACGACAATATCACCAAAATAGTCAAACGTATCTCTTAACCATAAGACTTTACTCGAGCCGACCAATATGAGAGTATAATTTCTTCTAATCGATGAGTATATAGTTACTTTCGACATGGTTATGAGAATTCGATCTTTCAACTAGAATGAATATTAACGGTAACGATTTCCGATGCTACAGTCGTCTGTCTGTTTGGTATTCTATTAACAAAGAAGGATATAACGAGCGTTTTCATTCACGTGGCTAGCGACTGTGAAATTTGTTGGAACGAAAAAAGTGTTTACATATAAGAAGGTTCAACTCTCACAAAACTGGCAACGTGGGCACCCTTTCATTGTTTGGGAAATCAATATGACGGACGTGACGATATGTAAAAACGGCCTACAACAATTCACTATCACAACAATTTACATCCCTTTTGTCAACAGATAATGAAAATTTCTAAGTTTATCGAGTCAATAGACAAAAATAAAGCGACCGTTTAGTCGTTCAAAATTATGAGAGCTACAGATTGTGGTATTGTTTGTTATGTCGTGCAAAAGTCGTTCTAAGGTCCGGGTCACTGTGTATGAAATTCTTAAGTGTGACCATTCAAATGAAGGTTACTTTCCTCTGGTATAATGTTTATTGTCTTGTATAAGATGGTTCTGTTTTGAGTCTGTGAATGCCTGTACATGCGCCCTGTGTAATAGTTCTAACTCTCTTTGTGGATGAAATCTTACGTAGGCAATTAGCTTTTGTCTGCTGCTACTAGAATCCTCAAGTTTATTGACGCCTTGCTTAAATTTGGGCTATTGTTACTCAAACTCTGATGGAAGTAACAAATTAACATAAAAAAAGCAAGAACAAAAAGAATTCTGGTTTTTGCAGTAAAGTGACGTCATCGTGGAAAGGTTCAACTGTGGCAACTAAGTTGAAATTGTAAGTGCAAATGAGTTGTTGGCTTTTGCAGGGGTAACTTAAAACCTCCTAAAGAACACAAAGACTGCATGCAACACAACACGTAAGGATTTCATGTGATTGGTTCACCTTTTTAGGGTATGCAATATAAGGCACCATCATTCGAACCTGTTAAGAAGTGTTTACTAAATTACATCTGAGGCGAAATTGTAACATCACCTAGCTATATTCTCAATGAGCTTAAAAGCGCTTCAAGATATGATAATTCATGTAAGAGCAAAATAAAAATACATTTATTCCCAGGAACGACCAGAAACCAAAAGAAGAGAAGAGTTTATATATTGAGTTGACTGTTCCCGTCATGTTTGCAGACTCAAATGTTAGCTTGGGCAGACAAAATCAGACAGCCGACACAAAACAAAACAAAAACATCTAATATCACAATATGGGAAGCTTTTATAAAGTGATCAACAAATTTAGCCACCAACTTTTAAGTTACAACCCTCTCGACTAACAGAACGAAGACTATATTTCAGATGTTGCGTCCACATTTCTAAAAGTGAGCAAAGTATACAATTCAGAAAAAAAATGAAATTTTCTTTTTGTACCATTTAAAGATTTAAATGGAATATTTGAAAAGTTCTACAAAAGGGTTACATTTGAATGGTAACATCATAGCATTCCACCCATAGGTTAGAAAGTTAGAGTAAAAACTCTTCTCGCCGTTTGTGCTAGGAGTGAAATGTTAAGCGACTATTGCAGCTAACGTCACGGGGGCCATGTCGGTTGAAAAGAAAAGAAAAAGATTTTTCCTTCGCTGCCGGGGAACTTAATTTCTGTTTTCATGCAAATTCTGCGATAAAAAACAAAATGGTATAAAGCGTTTCACTTACGTGGCCAGCCGTTGATGCTTATTTATTTATTCGAACAAAAGAAAACGTTAACGTAAGAAAAGAGTTCAACTCCCACAGGATTGGTTCGGAACAACAACATGGTCGCCGTTTCATTGTTTTGGAAAACCAATATGGCCGCCGTGACGTCATGCAAAAGCGCTTTATTATTCTGTGAACTAATATGTCCGCCTGCCTTGTCACGTGATTGCAAACCAAGAATTTGTTGAATAAGTATATGGACTTAGAACTTCACCCAGAGACACAAGACGTCGAACCAAGTTAGACAGCAAAACAAACAGTAGCACAGGAAAGTATAGCTCGGTAGCGTTCACTAGTAAAAATGGTCACACGTCGGTATTACATTCACACACTTCAACGTTAATACAAGTATAAGAAATAACCAAAGGTTACGGAGAGCGGGCGACAGCGACCGAAAGATGGTCAAAACACGCTTGATCAGAGAGCGGTCTGTGCATTTCATTCATTCTTAGTGGATGGCCAAACGAAGCTGGCTACACACGTGCTGTACATGCGTAATGGCAACCTGGAGATTACGATTGCGGGCTCCTCTTGTCATGTACCACGTACAGTACAACAAACAGCATCACAGGAAGGTTCTGCTCTGGCTTTCATTCAAATAGTCACATTTCAGTATTCCATACACACAACGAGATGACTTGTATGTAGTACAATAGTATTACCTTGCTAAATAGCTTTCAGTTGAAATGGTCACACTTATTTAACACCCTCAAAGTTATTAAATCAATACAAATTACTTTCAGTTTTAAAGAAAACAATTCGTACACAACTCTTTGTATTATATTAATTGTTTTAAAGATTGATGATTGACGTCATGAATTTGAGCAAACGTTTGTTTATCGTCAGAGAAAGTGAAATGCTTTACTCCTGCTGGTGGCGGTTATGAAGGTGGGGTGGGAGTGTGCGGTACGCTTCCCGAATTTCTAACTCTATTTCAGACCAAAATGTGTGATTTACCCTACCCATTTCAGATCTGGACCGCTGTTCGCAAAGGACAAAGGACAAAAATCATAAATCCAGACCCTGGGCAAAGAGAGCACAAAACCTGACGCTTTTCCAGTGACCTAAGCAGCTAAAATGTATACCCAATTTCACTGCTTACACTACTACATGAGAAATTTCTTTAATTTGATTGGCTAAGCAGGGCTCAAAGTTAACGACTAACCGGTCGAATATGCGACTGGATTTTTGGTTGTGCGCCTAAAAATTGATGTGTAATCGCACGTGTGCGCCATAAAACCCAAAGTGCGGTGCGACTGACTTGCTTCCGACTATACTTACGAACTAGAACTAGAAAGACGGTGTATGTTTAAAATATGCTGGTCTTTTCTCTCAATGGATTCCAGGAACTCGAATTTTCTTTTTCGTTTCGATGTTTCACTCCGTTCCCGACTCCTCTGTTTTGTAAGAAACACCGCTGAAACATGCAAATATATGAGCTTATATGCTATGAACGAAACACGTGCTTTTTGCGCAATGGACGATCATGTCGAACGTTCAGTTTTAAGGTCAATCAAAACAAAAACAGTGCGGATTAAGAGCCTTTTTTCCCAGGTAAGAAAGTTTTTAAGTCACATTCCAGTTACATGAAAGTCATTGCGCATTTAACAAATTCATGAAAGATTAATTTTCATTCTCGTTCGACACACTCGTTGTTGCCAGTTGTCAGTTTTGAATTTTTTTTCACGTGTAAGTTTTCTTTAGTCACAACCGTACTGTCAAAAAGAGAAATTAGCATTAAAAACCACAACGGTATTACTGCGTAGCAAATCAGCTGTGTTTTATCAATCACAGGACTGAAATAAAAGTAAAACGTGGCACTGTTTAGCTTTTTACTTTTTCTTTTGAAATAGATGCTCCCAACATTACAATCTGTGCTCCTAAGATTTTCAGCTGTGCGCCTCAAATTTCGGCAATGCGCCTAAAAATTTACACCTGGTAGCACAAGTGCTCCCAAACTGAAATTTAAACTTTGAGCCCTGCTAAGAGCACTGGTATTTCAGCTTAATTTGAAATACCAGCATATTTGGCATAAATACCACTAGTGATATTTCAAAATTGTCTCAAATTTCACTCGCCTAACGGCTCGTGAAATTTCGTACAACAATTTTGAAATATCACTCGTGGTATTTATGCCAAATATCACTACAAATCACGCTATTACCTATACAAATAGAAGTCAAATACTATACCCTTTGGCGCAACACACATCAATGTAGCTTACATAACGGAAACAAAAAGACGTACTTTATTGAAGTGTCAATGTATTTAGCACACAATTGCTAATGGAGGACGCTGTCTTTGTGTCTCCGAATTCATTGGAGAAGGCACCACCTTTTCTACTTGGTAATCTCAGCCACGCGGAAGTCTAGCCGTTCGCAACTACCTTCTTCCTCAGTAAGACCGAGAGTCTAACCGGTCTAGCCTCGCTCCACATATCTCCATCGCCATACTGATTGAGCTAATTCTGTCACGGTGCCAAAACTGGGGTCTACTTAGTTAAATCATTCCAGACGAAGAGAATAACACTTAGTTTGACTTGGAACTTCTAATCCAGCTAATATTGGCAAGGAGACTATTAATATCACCTTCAACCAAAGTTTCAAGAAACCGCATTTAGTGAATTAAAACCGATCAACAACACCGGAAATTGACGAAGGAAATACATTTTAAGGTAATACAAGGAAAGCTAAATATACATGGAATTTAAAATTTGAAGCTTTGAATACCATCAGCGCAATACGAGCAAAGTAAAGCAAAGCAAAGTACAATACTACCTAATAAGAAACACATTTTACAAGATTGCATAAGACCTGAAAGACCATAACAAATCAGTTTTAATTTGAATGAAAGGGTTTTGGAATTCTCTACAGTAATTAAAAAAAGATATCTTGAGTATGAGAAGTTAGTCCAGCAAAAATAAACCAAGGGACTGGGCGACAGAAAAATACTGTTCAGTCTGTTTTATTTGAAGGTCGCTCTTTGCCTCGAACATTTCATTCAGAGAACTGAAACTTCGAACAATCTACTATAGAATTCAGCATGATAAACAGCAGTACAAGAAAGCACTGATCAGCGCAGCCTCTCATCTGAAATGGTCACACTTCAGGATTTCAAATGGATAAACTTCAAATTCCATGGTCAACCTATAATACTGCATTCTCTCAATTCACAGATTAAAAGGATTTAGTATATAAGAAGAAAATGTATGAATATCTCCTCCTTTTGCCCAGAAACAGACTTTTTGTCGTCTCCATATATGCTAACACTTATTATAAAAAGTGCTAAAAGTCTTCTTGGTATCTATCATATTTTTGCAACTTAACGACAACCAAAAAACAAAGCTTGGGAGAGTTTTGGACGCCCAGCTGCTTCCCAACTAGAATAAACAGGAATTTGATTAGTGAAGCAAAGACGGCCAACATTGTTAAAAGTAAGGACCACAAAGTTGTCAAAAATATGGGAACAATTTGAACAACGCATCAGTGGAAAGTCGCAGATCTTTTTTATCTCGGCCTGTGTTTACAGCATATACCGCAGAGCGAAAAGATCAAAGGCTAAACTATTAAACTTGTCTTTGCAATAGAAGAAAATCCACAATAATATCACGCTGTGTTTTCGCTCCTGACAGCGGCACCAAAGGACATAACACGCCACTTAAATATGGATGTAGTATTGATCAAGAACCGCGCAGGCTCATATTGCTTACTTTAAGCTAAAAAGGGAGCCACAAAATTCTACGAATTCTTGGATGTTAATACCACCGCTAACTTAAAGACAGTGTGGTCAAGAAAACTTTGCATTCAAGACACAGAACATGTAACATGGGCGCATTGTTGACCACGGCCATTTAAAGAAATTCCTCGAAACTGGTGCCAAAAATTGCAGTAGTTATTAAGATTATTGCCAAACAGCCACCGCAACACTTTATGTCTTAACACGCCGCTTTGGAAGTAAGAACAACCAAGAAAAGTAAGTCGAAGGCCAACTCCGCAGATTTGGCGACTTACAAATTAAGAATCGGAAACAAGTTCCTCTGAAGTTTGCGACCTGGCTGCGGCAGCGTACCAGGCAGGTATTGGACTCTTTTGACGCAACGCTATCTATCCGCAAAACTAAAAGGCAACGTACAAACGCCAGAGACACAAACGAATCAGTTACCGGCAATATCGTCGCAATCCCGAACTTCCGTTGCGACATTTCTGAAGTTTTGAGATGCCTCGGGACTCACACTGGCACCGCCGAGCAAAAAGAAAAACAAAAGAAAACAAAGCAAAGTCTACATCGTCAGATCATGTAAAAATTTGTTGCACTTGAAAATTTTCAATGTTGTTTCACCGTTGGAAGAAACACTAGCCAGGATACATCGCGTACCTATCAACTATTCTGAGCACAAGTTCCGTTTATGGCAGTTGCCGATCCGACCCCTTTTCCCACAAAGCCCATTATTCCCCTCCCCCCTCCTTTTTTTTACTCTAATCCCCCACCCCCACCGTCCAACGGTTCTTGGTTTTGCGTAACCCTGTTCCATAATTCTATTCCAGGAGTTCTATTCCATTCAATCACCTACTTTGTTGGATTCGTTTCCATAGTGATGGCGGCGTGACGTCTACGCTCGTTAGTTACACATGGCAGTGATCAACTCGAAAGCCCAAGCTCCTTTGGTCACTACGCACATTTCATCTTTGGTGATTTATGTAATTTGTTGTTTTATTTTTTTCCTTACATTTGTAACGTATTGTAATTTCTGTAGTAACCTCTTGAAATAGTGCAAATAATAAAAAATCTGAATGAAATCTGAATACTTTGACTGATGTTCGCAGTAGGTAATTTAAAAATTTATTTAAAGTGGCACATTTTTGCCTCCCTCGAGTCATTGAAGTGTATTTAGTTCTGAAGGGCTCCCGTGGAAGGGTCTTCCGAAAAAGGTCTTCCGAAAACCGCTCTAACATTGGGTACAGTGAAACCAAACATTACAAACAATCACACACACAAACCACTGAATTAAAAAATAGGCTTGACTTCTGCAACTTCAGTATAAGAACTCTTAAAGCGAGAGCAATACATCCTTTCACCAATGAAACAGGTCATTTATTTTATTTAAGGGTCAGCAACTTGTAAATTATCTGTTATACAGTATTTTTATTTGCAGATAAGACTGCGACGTTATCCATTAACAAAACTCTATATTTTAGGCTTCTTTTACGAAACTGATATTTGAAAGAAACTTCCATTATACTGCGGGATCGAACTATTCCGTAGATATAGAGATTTATATATCTTTATTCCATAACATCTTATGTTTATATATTTTCAATTAGCTTTTCTGTAAGCTGAATATAATGACACAATTTGAGCGTGTCAGGGATTTATGCCGCAAACATTACGCACCGATATATTTCGTATATTTTCTAAACGCCGAGACAAAGAAACTGTCCCTACAGTTTCCCTAAAAATTATTTTTTAGAAACGTATACAAAGCACAATCTTTTTGTGATTAAAATAATATAAGTAGTAATAATTTAAAAAAAAAAAATAAGAAGAAAAATATTTCAATTCCATTTTCCAGCCAACAACAAAAAAATAAACGAAAAGATGGAACTGTTTAAAACCTTACACATTTGGTAGACGTGAACAAAAACACACCAATTCACTCAATCTACAAATACTTCTTAACTTTCGATGTAACAAAAACTCGACGCAATATTTTTAAAATAAAAAATGTACAAACATGAATATTCGCTCACGACCTTTACAATAGCTTCCTTCAAGAAATAACTGAAGTCTCTATTGAGTCTCTTGCTAATCTAAACCAGCATGGCAAACCAGTTTACTGTTCGACGTAATTAATTCACCATGTATCACTACGATTTGCTTTTTATCGCGGTTTACGCGTTTGCTGTCTACAACTTTTCTTAAAATCTTATTATTTAGACTTGACTTTCTTAGCTCTTTACTACATAATTTGAAAGTAAACACAAAACTACAAGACAAAAAAAATGAGCCCAAGCAACGATTTTGATTCGATATAGACTGCGCCAGCTTGGGCCTTCGGTTGAATTTGAAAAACAACAAATTAAGGCAAAAACAAATTTTCCGAACGCCTGGAACAGGCTACTTAAACTTTTAACTTTTAAACCACAGCTAGAATTAATGAAATTAGAACATTTCTATGAAATTTTTATTAGCTCTGACACCCGTTAATTCATCCTCTTGTCTGCCGATCACAGGTTTTCTGCCTGCAAGAGACAGAACAAAGTGGATTAATAAAACAAAAAGATCATATCAGTTGTACAAATTTAAGGATTGAGTTCCTTTGCTAAAAATTCTGCCAATTTTTTTAAAACAGTGATTTTTCTTTGTCAAGAAATCGTGACGAAATTAGATTCTAAATCAAACAGGTTGTAAATAGGTTTGATAATAGTGACGTATGCATACTAAAAACAAACAAACAAAAAACTGAAAATTTTAACCAGTCGCCTCTACAGTCCATTTTAGGTTAATCCACTTTGTTCAGTCCTCGTGAAAGGTAATGAAATCTGTCCTATAAGTTTCCGTATTCGATCGCGAACGGGAATATAAATCTTAACACAAATATGCGAACATTTAGTGACATCATCAGAAACCACAGGAAAACCAATATAATTAAGGATACATTGCGGTCGGGGTATTTTACCTTTGCTGTGGTATTGTTTATGCTGTACAATGTGGCTATAGCATTTACGTCGATAGAGGAAATATAGTTATTTAACGAGCGCCAACAAAACAATACTTTTAGGGAAGCGATTACTGAACTAGCCTCAGAAAACAGCCGACATTTCGCGACACAGCCACTAGTTTCCCCACGAAATGACGACTGGCAAACGAGCGCATAAATTCGTTGGTCGTATCGGAAGTAGCCTGCGTAGCAAAGAAAGACCGAAGAACGACGTTCGGAAACGCTTGCTTCGCAAGGGAAATTTGCTTCAACCAATCAGAAGCACTACCCAGATCAGGGTAGTGACACGTCATCAGTATGGAATTTCTGCAGTCATTTCTCAGACGTCATTTCCCGGGGGAACCAGCGGAGGCGTCGTGAATCCGGATGCTTACGTTTTTCAGACTTTTAGGGCCTGTTTACATGGAGGTGGGGGACCCCGGGTAGGTGAGGTAACCTGCTTAGGTGGGGTAAAAAAAATATCCCTCCTTTATAAGCAATCTTACAACCCCGCCATCCCGGGGTGCGCTTTCTCAAGGTTACTGAATGGTCGCGAAGCAGGTAAACAAGAAAAATGCTGGCAAACCATGTGTTTTGCCGATTAATGCACTTCTACACTCACTTGCTGCTCTTGCTGCAACCTTCAGTGCAATGGCTTTCTATTGTTAACTTTAATAATGATGCAAAGTCACCACCAAAGTGAATTTTGCGAGAGTTTGATGTATCACGAATCCGACCCCGGCCAGGCGGGTTACCCCACCTTGAAACGTTTACATGGCAAAATTTGAACCCAGCTGAGAGGGTAACCCGGTCTACCAGACCGGGTTACCCTTCTTGGCGGGTCACCCCACCTATCATGTAAACGTGATCCAATTAAAATAAGAGATTAGATGGGCAGGCGGGTTACCCCACCTAAGCGAGTTACCTCACCAACCTGGGGTCCCCCACCTCCATGTAAACAGGCCCTTAGACTCTCTTAACCTAATCGCAATAATCGTTTTAAGACCATTTGTTCAACAAACCGCGCAGAAATCATGTAATCGGCCCCTTAAAGGTTAGTACTCTTCATTTATGCATTAGCTTTAACAGTTTTTTGCTGCGGTGTTTGTGTTTCCAGTCAATCTCAGTCTTTCCTTGCGATTTGTCCTGTTGCTGTAAAAAAACAGTCGGTTTGCATTTTTGCAAAACAATTCAACATGACTATCCCATGATTAAACTTGAGAAACAAACGCGCAAAAAAGTTTGAGCAACCGAGGGACATAAACATGCGTTAAGGAATTCCAATTGACAACTGCATGCTATTAATTAAAGTCAACAAAATCACCAGACTGCATTTATAACGCAAAATATGCAAACTCCACTGTAACTCAATCGCAACTGAAGTTGATAGTTAGAATCCGCACTAACAAAAGCGCAGTATATCAAAAAGCAGCAAAAACTCCACACGACCACTAAACCACATTAAGCACTGGAATTAAGTACCTTCAAAGCAAGACAATTAACTAACTCATTAAAATCTCTTCTATCACATTCCTTTCTCGAAACCTTTTCCCATACTGCTTTAGAGATTTTATCAATTGCTTTTTCATTAATTAAAATACGCCTATTTAATTTATTTCGCTTACGTCAAGACGAGGTCGATGAGTGTTTGAGCAGCAATATTACAAGATTATGTATATCCCAGTGACTGCAAGGGCTTAACAAGCTCTTCAAATACAACTCAACAAGTCACGCTGGAAACCATTCTCAACCATGGCTTGATTTAAAGGGAAGCTTGCCACTTTGGAACGAGAGCTGAGCGCACACTTAAAAACAGACAACAACAACAACAACAACGGCAAAAATGACACCCTACATCTACCCACCATCTGGAGCCAAAAAAAAAAATCATGGCGGTGCAAATAAAGAAAACAAAACACTTATCCGATGTCCAGTGGCCGTTTATCAAAAGTCCCGGTAGCTTTTCAAAAAGCTTTTCAAATCAAAATCCGTAGGAATAAAAGCGCAAGTCCTCGCTTACAAAGCAGCCCATCTTGTTTTGTTAGCTTAAACGAGCTGTGTCACGGTAGTCCAGTTCATTGTGTTTAATTTTGCCAATCACTCGCCCTCAATCGCTATGGAACTTATAGTAAGCAAAGAAATTACAGGCAAACGACAAAATCAGAGATCCAAGACACAAATATGTCTCCTGAGCATTATTTTTGAAGCTGCAAGCAGCAGGGATCAACCTTGAAAAACTGTAGCGCTGAACAGTTTGCAAAAACCCTAATTTCAATCCGTTTCAATCTTCTTCAGTTTTGCCCACCCGTGGCCTCTGTTGTTTCTGTTATGTTATTTCAACCCTTCTTTAAAGTTTTAAGCGGTTATTTTCATGTTCCTCTTAATTAAACGGGCATTTTGTAATTTCCTAATTTGGCTGAATTTCGTGACATAGCTCCTTTAAGGTTTCATTAAATCAGCAAAACTATTAGGACCTTGAGCTTGTCAATTATCAGGACTTTCGAGAAACGATCACTAAGGGAGAAAAAGAGCCAGTCTTGGTTCTAACACGTCAGCAGAAAAACCCACTTCATAGGGTTCAAGTTAGACAGTTTACAGGTAACAAGGTTCACACTGGAAGCTCACAAGTAAGCTTCACTGGTTATGTTTTTTGACGATGATTTAAATTTCCAGTCAAACTCCGGCACAATAAAGCCCAATCAATCAGTGAAACAAAAATGCATTTAACAGGTTCCTGATAACACGGTCCCGCGGTTATAACGAATCGCACAGTTGTAACTTCGCAATCGACGTCATTTCAGTGTTAATCCGTATATAGCTTGGTTTGTTGCACCAGGTGAAGGTAGTTTTAGTGTTCGGCTCAGCCATTCTAGCACGCTGGTAGGGGTAACTTACTTAACATACACGTAACTTGTTTCCCATACGGGAACTTAGGTATACGTGGAGCTCTACATACGGGAAACTTACTTTTAGCAGGTTCATTAATCCTTCCAGTTGCACCATCAGTTCACGGCGACTCTCTTGCAATGCTGACATGCGCAACTCGAGTTCATCTTTTCGTTGCCGTAACAACTTGAGCTCGGCCAATAACTGTGGGTTTTGAGCGATCTGAGCCGCTGACCTCGATGCTTCCTCGTGTTCGTCGCGCAGACGGCGAATTTCCTTGAGAAGAAGCCTACGTAAGCATCAATAACAACAAACTTTAAATGTGTAAATGTATGGAATTCCGAAAACAACCGCCTCCGATTCTTACGCTCTCTCTATTTTCCAACAAACGTTGTTGCCTAGCGTTTAATAATTCTGCAACACAAAAAGGCCACGTTCGATATAATAAAATTCTAACTTGACTCAGACGCTTTCTGGTCATATTTCTATTTTTGGGTTTGGTTTTCTTTGTGCTCAAGTCTCTTCCGGGAATTGCGAGACAATAGAGACGTAAAAAAAAATGTTAGAATTTTCATATATCGAAAGGGGGCTATTTGAAATCGTTTCTAAATGAGATGGATACTGGTATGGAGCTGGTATGGTCACCTGTTCTTATTCTGCAGGGTCTGCATCAGTTCTCTCTGTTCTCTGTTAGCGTCAATACTTGTTTGGCTGGATGACTTGCTCACCTTGTTGACAGGCTTTTGACGCTAAAAAATAATAAGATTCAGCGATACAAGGTAAAAAAAATGATAATGAAGGCACCTGATGATTATGACAATAATAATGATGATGATGTTGAAAATGACGATGTTTATGATGATGATAACGATGACGATGATGATTGACAAAAATGGCAATCAACAACTAACTTCTATTTAAACCTCCACAAGTGATACATTGAATGAAAACAAAATCTAAAAATAATTCAGTTTCTGACACCAGGACGAAGAGGCGCCAGGTTGTATTGGGGCAATTGCGGAGTATTTATTGTGATTACGTCCACTAAGAGAGCGTTGTTGTCCAAGATATTCACGAAAGTGCTCCCACATTATGTCGCTGATTGTAGTTCACTAACTTAGATACGGATGTGGCCTTTGATAACAAACTCTTTTCGTACCGCTTCTTAATCTAAAGTATCCTTTATCTATCTCAATCTACTGTCTAATAAACTCCAAACAGAGAATATAAGGCGCCGTTTCTCGGGAACTTTCCGGTAATCTTGTTTGTATTTACCGCGGATCACGACAGCCTGAATCTTAAAAAGTGTTTCAGTGATACGGTATTTAATATTTATTCCCTTGTTTATTTTTTTATTCCTTCAATTATTTATTGACATATTTCCTCAGAGGTGAGGTTTACGCCAAAAAGAGAGCTTGAAATGCCCAGTATACAATGTTTTTAAATGTGTTATATTTCACTTAGATGTAAAGCATCAAAGAATTATTACTCACTTACCGAATTAGCGGCGAGTCTTTCCATTTGTGAAGGAAACAGAAAAATAGAAAACAAAAAACATAATGTTAGATAAGAGAAGTACAAAGCTTCAACTGACAAGGCAAAGAAAACATAAAACTCATGAATAACTGTAAAAACGGCCGGCGCCTACAAATCCGCCTAAGTTATATTTTGTCCCGAGAATGTAGTTTATACTCTAACAACAATTCGCATATTTTTTCGATTTCATTTCTTTCCCATCGTAAGCGTTGATCATCTCAATTCTACACCGCCACCTCCAAAAAGGTACAAAAACGCAGCAACAACATAAACGAAGGCGTTTTATACACGGAAATCATTTTACCAGCGGTTGACTGGGGAAACCGCAGAGGGTAAAAGAAAATCTACTGTGGTTTAATTTCAAAGAATCGCCTTAATTGAAAACTATTGTTTAAATTCTAAAATAAAACAATCAAGAGGCAAAATTAATCGAATCATGATTTTAAGTGAAGATTAGCCGCGACCTGCGCAATGATCTTATTCAAAGACTTTCCGTAGCAAGAAATCTGTTTTCTTTTTGAAAGAAAGAGTTGAGTGAAGAAATTCTGTTTCTTTTTTTTTTTTTTTAGATTCTCATGGTAAAACAAAATAATAAAACTTCCTTCGACAGAAGCTAATCCTTGAATGTTGACACTACGAAATTCACAAAGAAACAATTTGTCACGGGATCAATTGCATGAAATAATTTTATTAAGGAAAAAAAGGTATTTTAGCAAGCTAAAACACTTGGGATTAGAAGTCGAAATTTCTACTTAATGAGATGCCCTATGAACTTCTCAAACGTAGAGTCAATTGTGGAAATGAAAATACTGACGTCATCTATTTCGCACCAAAGATAATGGAAGATTTGATGACAAAATTTTCTGTCGAGGCCAAATATTTTTCACTGTAATTCTGAACGAGTTGTGCCGTTAAGCTGTCCTATTGTACCGCAGTTTAAGGACGTTGTATTGTGAGAAAAAAAATAGCTTATCTAAAATTGGGGAAAACTTTCCAAACATAGAGACCTCAAAAATGACACCGAACGAACAGATCGCTCGCAGATTAAACTTGATTGTCACACCCAGCTTAAATCTTGGTAAAGTATTCATGTCCAATAAGTTGTACCCACTAACTGAAGGATAAAACGAAGCAAAAAAAAGGCAATTGCTTTATTGCGCCCTAAAAAGGAAAAAGCAAATAACAGAGGTTGACATTCTTTAGATTAACGAGAAAAAATGTAAGCTTCCCATTTAAATTCATTTAGTATAGAAAAGGAATCAGTTCTTCGAGGGCCTGCTTTAATCATCAAATCAGAGTTTATAACAGATAAAGGATGTCCAAAATAAATTTTAGAAAAGACCCAAAAAAAAGTTGCGGTAAAAAGGTTCCATGATTAAAGTAAAATAAGACAGAAAACAAAACGTAGAGAAAAACTGACTAAAAACTAAACAAATATAATAAAATAATCTCAAACAACTACGAGAAAAAAACTACCTGTAGTACACTTTATAAATTAGTTGATATATTCTTCGTTCGTTGTAAAACGACCTTGAAAAAGCAAGTTTGAATGCCACCCTCATTTCAAAGACCGCTGGGGTACGACTTTGGGTTTTAACCGAATAATATCTTAACCCACCCAAAAGTTAACCCAAACGAAATACCACACGTCAAGGATGAAAAAATATTGGTTTTGTCGCCCTCAGTTCGTTAGCGTATAGCCCTGTCATGGAAGACGGATTTTATTAACTTACCTCGCCGCATATCTTGATATCAATTTGTGTTCGTCATCCATTCTAGGATCAGACAACAAGAAATTTGGAATTGAGCTACCGTTTGGCATTGTGATAAATATCGATGTCTTCCACGAGACGCAAATATCGATATGGTCAGTGCACGACAAACAGATCTTCCAAGTCTTTCTTTGACTTATTCGAGAGGAGATAATGTTTTGGTGTATTTAGCATCGCGCTCAACCAGGTGCTAATAAATCCAATCTACATATTCATAATGAGTTCTCCTATAAAAGCGAAATAAATTTGATCACTTAAGAATACAAGTATTGTTCGTTTCATTGGACAAAAATCGACAGGCGAAAAATTATGTCAATTAACACGACGGGACATAGAGGTAACTACAAAATAAAACGATAAAATTTTTATCTTCAAGGTGCGGCAAAATAATATTCATGATGAAACGCGTTGCTAAACTAAAAGAAAACGAAAAATATATTTTATGACAAACGCAGATATCAAGTTGTGATAGTGAAATTACACCAAAGAACAAAAGCAGGGAATATCGTTAAAATCGAGACAGACTGCTAAGTGCAGCTTGTCAAGATAAAATGTCACTTAAAGATTTTTCAACACTGCTAAAATATTCATCTTTTTAAACTGACTTTTCTTTGGTGTAGAATAAACGTTTGTGTACCACTCATCACCGCATGTCTTACAAATATCATAAATCCTCTAGCCTTTTTTTTTTATATATAACAATAGCTTTTTTAGTGCAATTACTGCAGCCGTTTTGAAATCACCGTACCAAGGAAATGAACTATAGCTTCCTCGCTAAACTAGCAGGAAAAGACAGCGTCTAAACATCACACTCTCACTAACTATATATTCAAATTCTAAAAGCGCACAAACATATTTTATGGGGCGTGGCTTCTCTTTCATTTTGTCAGCACTTTGTGTTTTTTTTTTTAAATCACCCAAAACTTTGCCTGCGAATCCAGACGCTCAGTTCTCTTTCGTTTCGCGGAAGGACCTCAGGGGCGTGAAGCGATGAGAGGCAACTGAATTAGCCGGTGACTTTAACCTAGAAAGGCATTTTTGCACGTAACTTTTCGCAGTAAACGATTCTCCGACCGGTAGTTGTTGAGCCTTCGTAGAGGAAAAAAATGATTTCCGTTTAAAAATGGCGCTTTTAGACTACACATATTTCATATATTTATAATTCTCCATATAAGTAATTGCAGTAGATTAGCAAAGTTTAAGGTTAAGACGATTAGATAGCAATAAATAGCAAAATTAAAATTCGAGATGACTTAAAGAATTAAAAAAAGTGGCACATAGACCAAGACATATCACCTAGATAGGCAGATTCACCTAGTATAGATGTACCGAATAAAATAACTGTCCTTTAATATTCGCCAACATTCTAGGTGTAGAGAGAAACAACGTGTCCGACGAACTTCAATCAATAGGTTTCTTAGCATTTGTTCGAGCAAAGAGAAAAAACTTTGCTCTTCGAAACCCAGACTTATAAAACACTCCTTTGGTAAGCGAGTCACAGTCAGAGCTTCAGAATTTCTCCGGTGCCTAAAACTGTCAAACAAGGAAGTTGCTACAATGACAAAATATTGATATAACATCCTCACTACACAACATTGACAGAACATTGCCACAACAATGGGACAACATCCTCTCAATGTAGCGCTGTTTGAACTGTCACGGGCTGTTGATACAGCATCCTCACTACACAATATTGAAGCAACATTGCCACAACAATGGGACAACATCCTCTTAATGTAGCGACCGTTTGAACTGTCACGAGGAGTAACACACATCTCAAAACATTCCTTTTACTTTTTTGAGGCGATGTTGTGACGATGATGTCACTGCATGACCGGAACTAATCTGTAACGCCCATCTCCCTCAACCGTCCTTATTAAATCGCTAAAGGCTACATTTTAAAACGTCCCCAGACATAAAAACCACGATCAGAAACAACTAAATCAATCGATCAGTCAATCAATAATCGATAAATAAACTTCCTCACCTTCCATCCAAGTCTTCTGTTAGTTTAATTGGGCTCGATGAAGTGACGGAGGATTCCGCGATGGACTCGGGCGAAGTCGGACTGCCGACGTAGTCGACATACTGATTTGGCCCAGACAAATCAGAAGGCAACGGTGGGCTGTAAAACGAAGAGGAAGAAAAACAACCAATTAACATAATCTGATGGATGTAGTGGTAATTGATACCGTAATCTTGATCTCGAGTTCAATATGACGCAGCAGATCACAAAACGCGTAAGATCTCCAGAAAAACTAGATTTCACTCAATAGTACCACCATCTTGAACTAGAGGTCGAATGTAACAGACCAAAAAATGCAAAAGATGCCCACAACGAGTTTATCTGAGTTAAGATCCAGGGTGAGTTTGAAACCTTAAAAAAGCTTTACACTGATTCAGAAGTTCGACACTTAAAGAGATGGGTGACTGGCTCGCTTTCTATCTGAACGTCACTGATTTTCCCGCCTTTTAACGCTCCGTAAGACGGCCGCCTTTAGTACGGAGAGATCACTGCCCAGTACAAACAAATTATACGAGTAACCGGTAGTAATACCGAGAAAATAAGAGTTATCGTATCGCCATACTTTGTTTATTATTATGAAAATCAATCACATTATTAGCTCCTCAAAAGCCCAACAATTCGAAACAAACGACATAGTTTGCATAAGAAACTCAGTTAAAGAATGTTGAATGTTCAAAAAAGATCGCAAGTCTTGAGTATCTCCTGACTGAGAGTCGAATAAAAATTAAACTCGCGGCTTACATACATGTTTTAGAATTTACAACAATCTACCAGCTTTGTTATAAATTTACTTACGTGGCTCCCTTCACCCGAACTCTCAAAGGACGAGTGAAAATGTAACATGTTTGGCGAGCATTCGGTTTTAACGTGATGAAGAGACGTTTGTCTGATTTTGAACTGCTGCTGCTGCTAACATTACTTCCGCGGCTCTCTCCACTTTTCGATGTACTACTGTCGCAAGAGCTACTGTCGCTGGAATTCATATTGGGTTCCCGAACATCAGACTTTTAGCTGAAACAGTCAAGCGACTACTAAAATCCCGCTTTCTTGGCCCCATTTCGAGTCAGAAGAAGCAACTGTGATGTCGCTGTGTCTGAATATTTTATATTTTTGCCATGCAGTGTATCAGAAATACGACGTTAAGCAAAATATTGAGGTGAATAATTTATAAATTGTTATTAAAGATCGCAATCTATGAGATTAATTATACACTAGGTTTTGGCCTATCATGGAGTGTGGAGTTTACCAGAATTTAATTATCTTGACAAAAACAAGATTCCCCGCCGTACAAGATCATAGACTACAATTTGTTGATTACGTCAACAAACAAGGACTGGTTATCTTTGTCGCCCTAAGCTTTCGCCGTCTCGGCCATGATTCTCTGCGAAATCACCAAGTACAACAACAGTAATAGGCTTTAGCCTTCTCCTCAAGATTATCTTAATCAGTTTTTTGACCGTTCCGTAGCAAGAATCCTTTCGCAAGTAAATGTGCACGGGCCAAAGCAAAAACTCATGAAAAAAAATCGAAATTTCTTTTTGCTTAATTCTAAAAAATATATAGTACCATCCATAAGCTCTGCTAAAGAGGTTTGGATGAATGGTAACATAAAAATCCGTTCACAGATTCAAAAATTTAAGATGACAATGTCTTCACAATAACTCCATGTCGGGCTGAAAAGGTTCACTAGACTACTGCCTTCACTGAACGTTTAAGCTTCTAATCAACAGCAGAAGCAAGGCGTGTAACGGAACTAATCTACGCAATTTTTCATGTTTATTTACCGTGTTTATTTGACTAAATGCCGCAGACAAGGGCAAAATTACCAATTAACGCCGTACTCAATCAGAAGTATGCGGCATCTATTAGAGGATCATTGAAGCCGGAAAAACTCGGAGCAACTTGGTAAGCGAGACATCAACACCTGACGCTTCATTTCTGTTTTACATGATTTTACAAAAGATTTAACGTAGTTGTTGCCAGTGATTTAAGTTATGTGTCTTTGAAATAAACGCTGCAGCATCAAATCGAGTAAATACTAACTTGTTATTACCCAAGGAAGAGTATTGAATAGTTTAGCAGAATGTCTGCCGTCATGGCGCCCCCTCCCACATTCTGAGTCTACCCTTGTTCTCTCGACCCCAAACAAGAGTTACAGCGCAAGTGGAACAACAGTTATTTACATGTAACTGTTGTGTCAGTTCTTGATGTTTTTTTAAAAAGTAGTTTTACCTAAAGCTGAGGAATGTTTCATCTAACTAACCAAACTTGTAACTTTGGTAGTATCGCGAAATTCAAGAGCCGCGAAACATACCTTACATGTATTTCTTGTAACTATACTAAGGTCAGTCTAAAGTCGCTCAAAAGAAATAAATACAATATTTACACAATGTTTGTGACATCCAGCGTTTTGTTTGGTTCCGGTTCCCTTGGAAAATCGGGCAATGATGGTCGCTTTTTTCGTCCACCTCCGCCGCACAAAAATTTACTTCGGAAAGAGCTGCCTCTCTCGCCAGCATTCTTAAATACAACAATAACCACAAGTTACGATATTAATGGAATATTAGGGAAAATGGCCAAGAATAGTACACATTTACAACAAATAATTCACTAATAAGCATAATTTTGGTCCTTTCTTCGAGTATCGCATAACGACGACAATTTACTAAGGACCATACAACCATCCCCACCCCCCTAGTTGACAAACGCTTCTCAAGATGCCACACAAACATGGAATTTCTGAAGGTTGTAGAACTGAAGGTAAGATTTTCTGAGGGAACATAGCACAAAAACAAAATTATCTGAAGGTTGTTAGCCTGAAGTCCAGGATTTTCTGGGGTTAAGTAGGAGAAAAGCAAAAATTTCTTAAAGCCATTAGAGTCGTAACTAAAAAGGTAACTTTTCTATGAGGAAAAGTGTTCATCAATGAATTATTCTGAGGGCTTTGCAAGGAAAAGGCATTTTTCTGAGGGTCCGTCGACAAAGGGGGCGGGCTGGGGGTGGGGTGGGGTGTATGTTAAATAACATGGCGCTAAGGACAAAAAATTGTCGGCCCTCACCCAGGTGGAGTATTCCCGCACATCGTGCTCCTGTTTATGGCTTTGTGAAGTCTTTCCCCTCCAGAAACAATCCTATAAAGAGTAAAAAAAAGACAAGCTTTTAAAAACTGGACACCATTGGCATTAGCTGGTAGCAACAGCCTATGCGCATCCCTGAATGAGGTTGGTAAAAATGCCTTCAATAATGGTTCTGGTAGCACGTCATGACCCCATTCTCTCTCGCAATTAACAGAACAACTGGTCGTTCCTCGTCAAAGACTTGCTGAAAGCCGTCAAGACTTTGTTTCTTTTCCTCACACTCGCGACATTGTGATTATCCCATCTTTCACATTCATTAATTGAACTTAAAATTTATTATATTTACTTACATTGTATTTATCAGGACCTCTGTTGTTTCGAGGTTTGGAGTGATGATTTGGCTGGGCATCAAGCCCGCTGCTACCCCCCTCCACCACCCCTTGCAAAAAATAGACACCCCACCCCGCCCTGGCACAGAGACACCCTCATATGATGACCACCCCGGACCCAACTAACCTCTCATTTCTTGAACATACAGCTGTGCCGATGGGGTAAAGTGAAATATAACGAACCCTACATTAAGGGGGTGGGGGGGGGGGGGCTTTGCCATACATATTATTTCATAATTTTATAAACTATTACATATGCGTAGACTTGGAGAAGTCTCTTGTTCTTCTTTTTGAAGTCCAAGCGAAGGATTTGCATAATTTTACTTTTTCGCTCGCCACGCGTAGCCTCATTACTATAACTGGAGAAATGTCATACCAGGATGTTCGTTATGATACCCAGGAGTTCGTCGTGTAATAAGCAGTGGAATAAGTGATCTGAGGCTATGTAAAATTCATTAAGTTGAGGCTCTCTAATGCTAAGAGGATATCAGGAACTGGTACAGGCATGGCACGCACCTGACAAATGGTGTAATTGTAACAGTGAAGACACTTGTACCTTAAAAGGACAGAATACATAAGGGAAGTAGTTAATTTATAAATCATTTACTAGTAGAAAGAGGTCTATGAAATTTTATGGCATTAAAACTATTCCAAAATTACAAGGATATATATTAATAATCAATTCCTTCCACTGTTCAATAAGTAATCTGTACCCATGTTTTAGGGCACTTTCCATTTGTCAGAACTGACAGGCCAGCCCATTCCCATCGCAATGAGAATTTAACTTTTAATGAAAATTTTACCATCCACATCAGTCAAATCCTAAATATTATGCACAGAGGAGATGGTTTTTCAGCAAAACCTCTAGGAAAAAGCCTATTTCATTGCCAAAATGTCTAGTCTGGCCATGTCCCGGCTGGCCAGTTCTGACTTTTGGAAAGCGCCCTTAGTTATGGTGCACAACAATCGTGCGCTTAGTGTCCTGTATCATTGCATTAAGAAGAAATAAAAAGGTGAAGCCTCAACTGCAAGACCAAAAGGCTAAATGACCCAGAGAAATTGCACTTGAAAGAAAGCAACTGCCGTTCACTCCAATCAATACTACAATTTCTCATTCATTAACAAAAAATTAATAATATATAGTATATAGATGTAATAAAATGAATAAGAATTAACGTTGGTAAAAAATTTCAATAACATTTACTTCTAACAACAAAGACGAAGCCTCAAATGCATGACCCAAAGGTTAATGGACCCTGAGAACTTGCAGTTGAAAGAAAGCAAGTGCCGTTTACTCCAGTCAATACTAAAATTTCTCATTCATTAACAAAATATATAGTATATCTAGGTGTAATAAAATGAATAACAAATAACGTTGGTAAAAAATTTCAATAACATTCATTTCTAACAACAAAGATGATAAAGTATTAAAATTTACCTAAAGCCCATCATTGGTTTTTTCTTGCATATCTGACAGGGAATTTGGTGTTCACCTATAAATAAAAAGAATTGTCATCGACTGGCAAGAGGATGAGTTGTCAACCCAATGCTAACACTAACTTCTAACCCCTCCCATAAGCTCATGAATGTTAACAATAACTTTTCACTTAGGGCAAAATGTTGGGTTAGGGGAGGGGTAGGTGGGCAGTTTCCTTTGAATCTTACACTGATCGCACTACCCTAGGAAACTGCCAACCTACCCCTCCCCTAACCCGACATTAATACTAACTTCTCACTAAGGGCAAAATGTTGGGTAAGGAGAGGAGTGGGTGGGCAGATTCTTAGAATTTCTTCCTGGTCTCATGATTCTGGGAAAATGCCAACCCACCCCTTCCTTAACCGAACATTAATACTAACTTCTCACTAAGGGAAAAATGTGGGGTAAGGAGAGGAGTGGGTGGGCAGATTCTTAGAATCTTTTACTGGTCCCATGATTCTGGGAAACTGCCAACCTACCCCTCCCCTAAGCTAACACTAATACTAACTTCTCACTAAGGGCAAAATGTTGGGTAAGGAGAGGAGTGGGTGGGCAGATTCTTAGAATCTTTTACTGGTCCCATGAATCTCGGAAACTGCCAACCTACCCCTCCTCTAAGCTAACATTAATACTAACTTCTCACTAAGAGCAAAATGTTGGGTTAGCGGAGAGGTAGGTTGGAAATTTCTTTGACTCTTACACTGATCCCACGATTCTAGGAAACTGCCAACCTACCCCTCCCATAACCCAACACTGACACTAACTTCTTGTCACTTGAAGCAAAACATTGGGTTAAGGGAGGCCAAACATTCTTCTTCAGACAAAACCTTAGAAACAATTACTGTATTATTTTTCTCCTGTACATACACTTTGCAGCATTTGCCATTTTCTGCAGGGTACCCAGCCATACATAGCACAGGGGGGCATCAGTGCCCATGACACATTCCAAGAAATTCAGAAGTCCTGTTTCATTGTGTTTTAGTGGCTGAAACACACAACAACAATGAAACAAATAATGATTGTAGATGTGCTAGTACATGTACACGCAGTGTGTTTTCAGTTCAAGGGCTGGGGCATAATTATGTGTTTTGCAGAATGCCAGAAGTGATACTGGGTTGTGGTGAAACAACCACCTTGATGTTATTATTGTGGTGTAATATCCATGGTGTAAATTCAACACACCACTGTCATTACACCATGGCTCCGGCTGACTCAAAGTTTGATGATTTGTCAGATGCAGACATTGATTCTCTTACTGAAGATGCAATTTCTAAAAACACCAGGTAAGGCTGCAAATTTTAATTTTTCATTCAAGATAGTTGAGGTGTTTTTGCATGTTGTCAACAGTTTTGCCAGCTTTGTGCAGTGCATTCAATTTGAATAACAAAAATGTTAACGCACTCATTGCTTGTAAATTATGGGGATTTACCTGTACTTGCTCACTAACAATGAACTTGAATTTTCAATACCGCACAAGGCTTTGTGCGGTATTGAAGTTATTTCTTGTTTATTGTTACTGAACTTGTGCAGCTAAATCCCAATAATTCACACGCTGAGTGCGTTTACCTGTAATTAAATAAGGGCAATAAATAAAATATATAACTACCACAGAAATCACACAAAAAGGATATTTCTAAAAAAAAGACACAAGTTCAGATCGATTGATCTTTACACCCTACAGGACGCATGCCATGAATTATTTTGCGTTTTCAGGAATTGAAATCACTGCTAATGTATTATTAATTTTTTAAAATACATTTTGTATGCATCCAACTGGGGAATCAAGTTTTGGATTTCTGACTTCATTAAATTTCCTAATGGAATACAAAAATTATGTCCAATAAGAGGAAATATTTTGGTAGCAAGAATAAGTAAAATACTACTGTCATGTCAGTAATAGTTTAGCTTCTCACCCCTTCTGGCTTGAAGAATTTATTTGCCATGTTCTCAGTGAAGCCAAATGTGGGAGCCTCTCCAACAGCTGCGGGAAGCTGAAACGAAAAAATAAAAGTTAACAAAAAGGTAGCCTGCAAGCAAGCTCTCCATCTGGGGGATATCATGAAAAGTAGACACAGGAGATGAGATGCGAAAGTGGGGGAGGGGGAGAGAAAGGTGCCTTGCAGCTTCACCGCTCGCTTGTGAATTTTCTCATGTGGCTCTCTTCGCTTGCCCAAATAGAAGAGCTGGCTGGCAAGTTAACAAGAAAGCTACATAATGAGTGTGAACTAGACGTCCTCTCCGATAAATGCATGGCTTGTATGGGAAAAAAAAGAAGGAATCCTCTATGAAGGCTGCTCTGAACTCTGCCACTGAGCAGATACAGAACATGCAAATAATAATATGGTTGAATAATCTAAGGCCAGATTGTTTTCCCCAAGAAATAAAAGTACTTACAATAATCATATTATTGAATTTCTATCAAAACGGAAAACTGCCTAAAATAACTGACAAACACTGAGTAAAAATGATGAATGTTTTTGGCTGATCTATAAACAGAGAGTACCTGTTGATTACAATAATATTAGCAAGTTAACTGGGTTATATTTTTTAGTTAAACCTGGTTTATTCTTCAAAACCTAAGGTGATTAGAAGAGCTTAACAGAGTTAATATAGTGAAGAGAGGTAGGACATTAAAGTGCTTTAAAAAAAAACTAAACCAAACTTTACATGACACAAATGAAACAAAGTGCACGTACAGGAGGCAGGTACAAAAGTCGGACCGGATCAACTCGGACCAACTCGGAACAACTCGTATCGAATAAAAAAATAAAAATAAAATAAAATTGGACTCGGATCAACTCGGATTATAAAAAGAAAAATAAAGTCAGTCGGTATCACTTAACTTTCACCCGCCATTTTGTTTTTTCCTCACGAACTCGTGGTTGCGTAAATTAATTTTATTTTTACTTTTATTAATTTTAATGATACACTAGTGAGCAGCACACATACACTTCCAGTGAACATTTTCAACTTGGAAGGAGGAGAAATCATGCTCGCCCGGGACAACAAAAATTTTCGTACCCCGGGCGACCATTGAACTCGCGACCCTCCGAATACTACTTGTTTATCGGACGTTCCAACCACTGAACCAGAGGGTCGCGAGTTCGATTCTTGCCTCGGGCATGGAAATTTCCTTTGTCCGGGCGAGCATGGTTTCTCCTCCTTCCAAGTTGAAAATGTTCACTGGAAATGTATGTGTGCTGCTCACTAGTGTATCATTAAAATTACGTTTCAGAAGTCCTGCAGAAAAAAAACAAACAGGAACAAACAAACAAACACTCTTCGGTAACTACTCTAAATGCGATCAACAGAGGCTTTTGATGCTTTTCTCATAAATAATTCAGTACACTTTTATAAGCAAATACATATTCTAGGCGACTGAAACTATCATTTTCTTGGAATGAAGCAAATTCATTGAGAAAGATGATCGAGATTTTACCTCCATATCGCGTCGTGTAACGCAACCACAACCACAAGTTTATAACAATCCCGAGAGGAACTGGCACTAGTAAAACAAAATGGCGCCTGAAAGCCACAGAGAAAAAAAGGATGATCTGGCCTTTTTAACCCTCCAAATGGGTTAAACTTTCAGTTTTGCTGATTTAATTTAATTTTTTTGATTGCTCCGAGTTGATCCGAGTCCAATTTTATTTTATTTTTATTTTTTTATTCGATCCGAGTTGGTCCGAGTCGATCCGAGTTGATCCGGTCCGACTTTTGTACCTGCCTACGTACAGGTGTATTATTTCTAAAATAATGTTGTACTTGGGTGCATGGTAGAGCCTAACTTCTGTGAATTTTAGTGCTTAGGAACTCGGAAGAAATGATCAATGATTGACTGAGAATGCCATTGACCTTTGTGAGGGACTAACAAGATCCCAGTGAAAAACCTTTCCAATTTCATGCATTTTAAACTTTTTTATGATTATTTGTTGATCAAAACACTAAAACAGGAAGATATACAAGTATACTTTTACAGTGTAGGTACTACCCTCATCTATGCTTTTTATGTATTTTTTTTGCAGCATTTTAGTAGGGATCTGATTTACAGATAATTTTATCAATGTACAATCTTATCCAACCTGTAACAACTCTCTCAGGTAAGCTTCAAACTTAGGGAAGTTCAACAGGCCATTGTCATCTTCTATCTGTGAAAAATGGTCTGCAAGAAAAAAGAAGATGAAAAGCTGTTTTTTCATACAAAAAATGCACTTTCGGTGTCAATGTATTTGGCATGAAAGTACTAATTGTGGACACTATTTTTAGGATCACCATTTTATGTGGTCATCTGAGTGAAATGAAAGTCTAGCCATTTGCAGGGCAAAGGCTTCATTCCCCAATTATTTTAAGATCTTGAGAGTTGATCCAGTCCCATTTCCACTTATAGCCGCATATGGTCCTGTTTATAGTAGCTGGAGAAAATCCCCAGGCCATGTTCCTTAATGGCCTTGAAAACATATCTACAGACATCTAAAAAAATTGAGAGACGTCACAAACAAAGAGATTCAAGGTTACAAGTCACAGATGGTGTTAATCTAAAAACAACATTCCTTTGGGGAAATAATTATGGATATTTTCTAGTAAAACACAAACTGAGATTATACGTGATTTCTTACATCTAAGTTTATCCACAAGACGCCCAGCACACAGTGTTGAAAGAGCTGTTTTGACTGACAATACACGTATCCTACCAATAGCATCACTGCAATGCAAAAATAAGCGAAGAATCAGCTGAGATCACTCTAATGCTATTGAATCAAACATTAGGTTAGTAAGATACAAATGTACATGCAATTATAATCACACCACAAAACATAAAATAGAAATTAATAATATTTCAAAACAGGTCATAATTATTTTAACAAATAAATTGCATATAAATTTTAACTAATAATTAAGAACCTTCACTGGATCACTAAATCCTCTTCATGTAAATAAATATTGCAGAGCTTTAAAAAAAAACACTTGAATTTTAGCTTGACTGTTGAACAACCAGCTCTCACATTTTGTTCAGCTCAGCCAGTTGAATACATTTGTCTTGCCATATAGCTTACTTCTTTATCACCACGAAAAGCTCAAGCATAGAAGATAAATTGCCCAGCAGGAATAAAATCTACTAGTCTTTGCCTGTGATCAATAGGCAGGATTTTTTTGAGTAATATGTGTTTAAATTTATTTTTCAAGAAATCAAGCTAAAAAAATATAGTAACAATAAACAGGTTTTATTCATCATAGAATAAAAACAAAACATTTCTCAGTGGGTAGCCTAATAATTCTGATTACCAGATGAATAATGTGCATCTAACAATTAATATGCACCTTTTCCTGCCTCGCCTTTGGTGCCCTTGATATACACGTGTAAAAGAAGAAGTTTTATCAACATTGTATAACACATCAGGGATTGAAAAACTCCAACTGTCTCTCCAGCTGGGCAAGTTACAAGGTCAGTTGCTTGATGGGTCAGGGCCCAGGCAAAATGTCAAGTCTACAAACTATAGTGCGATATGCATGCAATGGCCCTGAGTGAACAAAATATGAGATTTGCTTGTCCATGGAGCATACAATAGCCCACACTCGATATAATTATTAACTTTCTAACATGACTCCAAGGCTTTCTGGTCATTTTTCTATATTTAATTTTGGTTTGGTTTTCTTTGTCTTCAAGTCTCTTATGAGAACTGCAAGACAATAGAGTCATGTAAAATTTGCAATTTTGACCTTAAAGCCTCGAAGTATTGTTAGAATTATTTTTAATATATATAGAATGCGGGTTAGTCTGCCATTTCATTTCTGTGCGTATATAATCAATAAAGTAATTTCCAGTTCCTTTAAATTAAAAGAACTTTCCTTGCAGGTCAACAGATCTCACCTGTCATATGCATATAAAAGCCAGTTTGTTACCAAGCTTATTGACCGCTCAACATCGATATAATGAGTTGTGGGCAATCGCTTGTTCAAGGCATAAAATATGCTTGATACGATTGCTTCCAGTCGTGTTTCATGCAGCTCTGTGTTGTGGTCAAGAGTGTTTAGTCCATTTTCTCGAAATGCTTCAATCATGTTAAAAACGTCAACCAAGTACACTATCAGGAGGTAAACAAAAAATTCTCAATGTTAACTTTAATTCTGTGAACTTGCACAGGTTAACATGATACTCTGCACATCAGTCTTTACAAGATAATATAATGTCATAAAAAAGCTTAAGCTACTCTAAACCAGGGCAGAAGGATGTGATAAGTGCTAAATCAGAGAATGGTATAATACGAGTTAATCTACTATTCACTTCTGATTCTACAATTACGTAAATTCTCAAGATTCGTTCTACCATTCTCCAATTGAGTGCTCAGAATCGGAGAATACTATAATAAGAGTTGTGATCCATTATTCACTTCCGATTCTACAATTATTTCAATTCTCAAGTTTCATTTACAATTCTCTGCTTCCCGGATAACTAAGATTTCTTAGTCACCCAAGGGCAAATTTAACAAAATGCCACACCAGCTCAGAAAAAGATGATCAACAGTTAGTTGTTAATCTGCACCATCATGGCAAAAAAAATTAACTAGGTCTTACAGTTTGTCTTGCTCTGCACAAAAAGAAGTTTGGCAGCGGATCGATAAGCAGCGAACCTGATTTCATCAAAACCTTCCTCATCTGCAAAAAAGAAAATAAATCATTTTTTTAAACATTTTTCAAGGTACAGGCAGTGAAACAACACTGTGATAGCAACAAAATAACAGTTTGAAGACAGGAAAAATAGTACTTAATTAGTAATAACCAAAGGTTACAGAGCGCAGGCGACAATGATCAAAGGTCAAAAAGCTTTTGCCCCAATGTGCGCTGCTGTGTTTTGTGCATGTTTCACGTGATCAGATGGTCAAAGCACGTGTGATCAGGTTACGAGTGATAGAAGGTCCAAATGCGAGTGATCAAATTGCGCTCTGTGCATTCCATCCATTCTTAGTGGAAGTCCAAACAAATACTGGCTACATACAGTTGTACAAAATACACAATGTAACAACACGGAGATTAGGATTGCGGGCTCTTCTTGTCACCTGCAATAAAAACTTACTCATTTCATGCAGAAGATCTTGAAGAAGTTGATCAGCTTCATCTTTGGGAATGGATTCATTTAATATACTGAAAAAAAAAAACATACGGAAAAGACTCTAAATCACCACTTACAAGGATGTGGCAAACACCCTGGTACTTCTACAATGACATCGTATGTTTTGCCTGGGCATTGCAGGCAGTAAGTAAGTATGTTTTGCCTGTAATGTGCACTGTAAGTAACAGGCACAAGAAAATGTTTGTCACATTTCTATTTTCAGTCACACGACACAGGCCACTTGGAAGAAAACCAATTAACTTTTTTATTGCTAGTCCAGCGACTGCGTGCTTTACCACTGAGTTATAGCAGACTGGTAGGAGCTAAGGCCACAAACCACAGGTGCATTCCTTTGGGATGATCTAGATCAGAATCAGTGATCTGTGATCACTCGGATCATGGTAGATCAAATGAACCGATGAATCCACTCTGGACAGGGATTTGGCAGGTCTACCAAGATCTGAGTGATCATGGATCACTGATCCTTATCCGGATCATCCCAAAGGAAGGCACCCTACATGTAGGTTCATGTGACAAACATCCTGCATACTGCTGGGACTAGAACATCAATATGTGTCTATGTAAAATGATAGAAATCTGATTGGTAAATCCGGTGAATACTTGACCAAGATGTTTTTATTTTCTGTTTTTAACCTGATTGAAAAAGACTAAAGTGTTTCAGAAGAAAAAATCTACAGGTATACTACGAGTCGAACCTGTAACATTAAGGTTACTAAATGTAGTCCAGATTTTTACTGCCACAGTGTTAGCTCAGTTGGTATAGCATGTGACTGCAAAACAAGAAGTTGCAGGTTCGAAATCCTGGGACTGGACCAATACTCAGGGTCTTAAAATAACTAAGAAATGAAGGTACTTCCTTTGCACTGCAAGCCGATAAACATTCGCGTGGTTTGGATGACAATGTACATGTAAAATAGCGGTCCCGTCTCCAGTAGGAGACGTACATAAACATAGTGTCCCCGAGTACATGTAGTATGCTCATGCTAAATACATTGCCATTGAAATAAAAAATGCATTCTCTACTACTGAGATTACTTACTTGCCAGCTAAAATGGGTGATGTTGTTCCCTCCATTATCTTCCTATCAAAAAAATAAAAAGAATGAGAAAGTTTTCAACATGCATCTACATTGTAGGCCTTTGCCTTAACTTTATTCATTCCCTACCATCTGACAACCGAGCTTTGGCCAAATAACAGGTTACTTTAAGCCATGTCTCTGACTAACAAGTTCAATGTTGATCTAATAACAAGACAATTTAAGCAACCAAGTAGGTGCTATGAGATGAAATCGGCAAACAAACATGTTTAATTATGCAACTGTTACACAGGTACATTTCCCATCTTTTATATTTTGATTTTGGGAGAGGATAGAAATGACACCAGCCATAATTATCTCTTTCAAGTTTGTGGCCATGAAAGCACTTAAGGTAGCCTGTACTGTATTGCACCAAGACCTTAATTTCTAGCTTCAAAGAATTTGTCATAAACAAAATACTGCAGCCCAACTTTTCAGGTTTTCATTAAGACTTCTAGTAGCAGGAGAAAGGTGTAACATTAAATGAGAATATCTTAAAAGAGGCTGAATATCTGAACAATAATTATTAACTAGTTATAGCTATCGCTAAGTGACAACGAGCAAAGATTTCAGAGACAGTGGCAGCCACAGACAGCTTTTTCACCCTTATTGGGACCCACCAGCGTGGCACAGCCATTGGGTTAATGAACAGGGAAAACCCGCATCTCAAAAACACCTTACTGCCGAGGTGAGTGCAAAGCAGTCTATCAAGTGCCAGCTCCACACAACACATGTGGGAGCTGTTGGCTGGGAACCGCACAGCAGTTCCACCACGACATGTGCAGGGAAGGTGGATCACGAATTACCAGTAAATCAAAGCAAGGGGCACACATACACCAACCCACGGCCTAGCCATTACCTCACGTATGCGCACAGCCATATCACGTGGGCAGTGGCAGCCATGGGCAGCTGTTTCACCCTTACTGGGGCTCATCAGCATGGCATAGCCATCGGCCAGTGAAGGGGAAAACCCGTGTAGAAAAGACCCTTTCCTGCTGTGAGTCCTTTAAGTGCCAGCTCCACACAACACATGTGGGAGCTGCTGGCTGTGGACTACATGGAAATTCTCCCACAACATGCACGGGAAAGGCAGATCATGGGTTTGGTGTATGTGTGCCCCTTGCTCTAATTTCTCTTTTGAAAATAGTGAACTAAACTGTTCTACTGCATAAAGAAATTGAAGTGCTGACTTTATGCAGGATATTTTTTCGAGATATTGAAGTTTGCGTTTTTGTCCGAAGTTGTGAACATGTCATTTTGTGTAAAATTTAGTAGTCTTATAAGCAAACTTAAAATCCTCGAAAAAATATTTATATTATAAGTCCAGGAATTTTCCACGTACAGACTTATATTTGGTGTCTTTTTAAAGCTAACAAAATTTATGGTGCGCCAATGAAACCTTACAAATTATTTTGTTTCAAAGACACAAAAAATTTTGCCGCGTTATTATTTTTCTTAGTGGCATGCAATGAAAAATTCCACCGAGCAAATGCGACAGACATCGCGTAGGATGAAAATGATCCACCCAACGATTGGCTGAAGAAGGGATGAGCATGGGACTCACAAACACGCACACGGCTTGTGGATTCTCTGATCTGTATCATGTGTTTGCTCCAAACCGATGCATTCTCTGCATTACGTCATGGCTGCCTTACATTACTCTATGTTACATCAGTTTGGGATTTTTTCTGCCCCTGGAACAACCGTCCACAGCTCTATTAGCTTCCGCATAGCAGCCTTGTGTCTTCACGAGGCTGCTTGTTGCCAATAATAGTCATAGGCTATCTGACGTTAGCCAGAAAATTATGTATAGTAAACGGAAAACTGACAATTTCCAAAGCCTACTGAACACTCTGCTTCTCTTCCAGAACATACAAAAATATTACCTAATTCAACTTTAGGTCATAACTAACTTAGATGAAATAGCATTTAATTCTCTGTGGATTGCTTTAACACTGTTACTATTGCTTATAACTAAAGAGGAAATTTCTAACTTACACCCGTTTTGATTTGGAGTCCTTTAGTGGACAAGCTTCGCTCTCCTTCTGTATCATCTTAAAACATTCCCAGTGAAACCTATTATCCAGCAGTTCACGTTTCGGTTAATTGTGAAGTAGGAGAGTAAAGATTCAACTGTATTGACAAAATTCCTCCAATTTTCAAATTCCTTTATATGAACAAAAATTACCTTACTGCAGCCAATACTTGATGGTGATTAGCAGGTGTGTGTGAGCCAATATTAATTAATCTTGCCATTCATTAGGTTTTAATTAAAATGAGGAGATAATTGACCTGACATTTTATTTTTGTTAAAGGATGTAACACAAAATTTGGGAATACAATTTACTACCACTCTACAAGTTCAACATTTCAACTTAATTAATGGACTTCTCTCATGACTTCACTCATGAAACTTTTCTTTATTAAAAATAAATTCAGATTACATTTGTGGTGGCATAAGGGACATGGTCTTTTATTTAGGAAAGAAGGATAAATCAGTTAATCAGCTTAACTTCAAAAATTTATAATATCACTTCAAAGAGGCTCAAAATGCTCATCCATGGGGGCAAAAAGCAGAAGTTCACTATTACATTTTGATTCCAGTCAGAACGCTTTCATTCATTATCAAAAATCGATTAGCGTCTGATCACAAATATTTCCACAATTTCCAGGGTTTAAACCCTTTGGTACCTAAGAATAAGATAAATTACATTTAGCTGTTTTACCGACCTACATAATATATGAGGCCAAATTACTGTTTGAAATGCCATCAGAAACTCAATCACGAAATTGGAGGCATGGCTTGGTACAAACTGAATGAAAGCAACAACCTTTGTTTATATCATCACATCGCAATCCAAAACATTTAAGGCGTAAACATCAAACTAGAGGACGCATGAGGTTTCATTTGCAGAAACTTTCACCGATTTTGGACCCATTTTATATAAAAACTACGACATGTAACAAAAGGATCCTCCAAAGAAGTCTTTCAAAAGTGTTTACCTGTTTTTACAAAGTGTTGACCTCTAAAACGAAAACAGGCGATTTCATTTTCAGCGATTATGGGTAAGGATTACTTCTACGTTGAACAGTGACCTCTGTCAAATTTCGCGATCTTGATGACTATGAAAACACTCATTGTTTTGGTTAAATAAGAAGCTCGAAAGCATCTGAAAAAGGGCATTCTTTCAGACCCAAGAAAATTGATCAAGGGCTAGCGAACAAGCTAAAACGAAATTTACTACGATCAAGACCTTGGCTTCATGAAAGGTTGTAGCCTTCAGTTTCCGGTCAATTTATTTCCAGCTATTTAGTCATATCGAATACACCTCCATTTCGACTTTACCGTTGAAAAATTAAATTTATGCTTTGAATTTCAAATAAGACTCGCAAAAGAAAGTCACAGCCCTCTGGGCGAGGTAATATAAAATAATGAATCGAGCTTATCTCAAATGGCTTCCAGCGTCACCTTCGATGAGCTAGAAGTAATCTTTACAATTCGATGTCCTTGAAAAACTCTCGCGCCGAATAAAAAATTATAATCTCTTTCTAAATGAAGTAAAATATACGACAGATTGTAAAATGGAAAAAAAAACGTTAGATAAACAGAGCAGCCAGTAGTGAATTTCGTGCGCGCGTTTTAACTTCATTAAACAGATTTCTAAATCACCGCGGTTTCAATAGAAGATCCACTTACGAACCGCTTCAGGTTTGTAATTTTTTGCGAGTACATAAACAACATGCAGCGAAATTCGCAAAAGGAAAATTCCTTAGCTCCATACCTTTGTTTAGGATCACAAGGTAACAAATTCCTTCACTATACAGCCCAAGGAGGTTCGATATGTGTTAGTTGCTCCGCCATTTTATGCATGCTTGTCCATAATGCTAATTTGTCACGTGGTACGTTGTTTTACATACCGGGACCACTGCCCGGCAGGAAGGCTGAGCAAAAACCGCGTTATCTTTTTCTATTCTTTTTCTCTTTTTCGTTATCTTTTCTTTTATTTATTTTATAATTATCGTTTATTGTGAAAGGAGTTTTTTTACTGAAATGATGACCCACTCCCTATATAAAACCGATTGGGAACTCGATCCCAGTTTACACAATATGCGGCCCGGGGTGTGAAGTACTCCACAAACATGGGTATGTGCCACCTCGACGGGTGTGGTTTTCAGCCGTTTTTGCCCATTACGGTCTAAAATTGAGTATGATTTTCGAGGAAGCCACGGCACTGAATAAACTTATTTATCTTTTCAACTCCAAACAGCTCCAAATGGATACAAAAGAAAGAAAAACAAACGAAATATATCATTCGAACCGAGTTTAATGAAATCTTCACGTTAGATAAGGTAATTGGTTCACAAAACTGAGTAGAACTTTTAAAAACGAGGTCTGAAAACAGGTGAGGAAACTGTCGTGTTTTGGATTTGAAATCGGGGATCAGGATATTGGAGAACCGGTTGTCACATCTTCATCAAGAATTTTCAAGTGCGTTTCTTGTTGTTACAAGTAAATGAGAGCTTACCGTAAACTGCCGCATATAAGCTCTGAAGCTTCGTAGGGGTGTTAGGAGCCAGGGATTATGAACAGAGGGGCCTGTGTCCGAGGGGGATTATAACCAGAATAAAAAAAAAAGTCTTCGAAAGAATCTATAGCAGTGCTGATCAAAACATGTTTTTCTTTTTCTGTTTTTAATTCAAGCTCAGTGAAAATGACATTATGAATAGAATTCATTTTAATAAAATCGGGGGGAGGGAGGGATGGGGGGGGGGGCATATATCCAATGGGGCTTATAAAGGATGTTTTTTTTTTATTAGGGGTACCGTAGAAGGCCTATAACTGGGGAGGGTTATAAGGGACCAGTCATAATTTAAGTTGGAGGAGGGGGTGGAGGAGAAATTGTTTTTTATCCCAAATTATTTCCAGACCCCTACTAATAGCACCTATGTTTTTTAGGTACCCCCCCCCCTTCAATCATGATAAAAGATTTAAGGGCCC